CTCTTTCACCGGCCGAGAGGATCCCTCTCGGTCCATGAGAGTGTACACTCTCACCGGTCGGGAGGAATCCCTCTTGGTCGATGAGAGTATACACTCTCAACGGCGGAGAGGGATTCCTCTCCACCACTGAGAGTGCGGCACCAACTCCCAACCTGCCTGGGGGTTTTTGAAGATTGACTCCCAAAAACCCCCGGGGTTTTTCATTTTTTTTCATTTATTTTTATTTTTTCTTGGGAGGATTGACTCCCAAACCTGTTGAAGGTTTGGGAGTTCCGACTCCCATCTCCAGGGGTGGATGGCCTGCGGACCGTCTGCAGGGGGTCCTAGCGACGTCCAAAATATTTGGGAGTTGGAACTCCAATATTTGGGAGTCGTTTAACTAAGACCCATTTTTTATTTTTCACAAATTTTCAAATGTTATTTTTTGCTTTTATTATTGTTGATGTCTGAGCTCTAGATCATCATCATACTCAAGATCGAAATAGCTTATACTTTCAATGATGTCATTGCGCTCAGGCCCTTAATGTGCTCAAGCGCTTGCAATGACATCATTGTTCATCGCTACTTTGCTCTGTCCTCATTTTCCTTATTATCACCTATCCATTTCCGTTCTTTCTTCCCTCAGGATCTCATCACTCTACTCCAGTCTCCTGATCATCTCCTCTCACCAACAAAAACCTCTTTCTTACTCGTAATCTTTCTGAGTACTCAATCATAACCATCTTCATAAGACAAACATCGACTCTTGTCTCTCATAAAAAACTTACGACGATCATCTCTTTTCGACGTACATCTCATCTTGTCTCTTGTTGTCACCTGTTCCTCTTGACCTTTGACGATCATCTCTTTCCGACGTACATCTTATCCCGTCTCTTGTCGTCACCTGTTCTTCTTGACCTTTGTGTCAATCATTTCCCTTCCTTTTGACAAAATCGCCAATCAATTCTTCACCAAAACCTGTCCTCGCTCCAGTAGGTTCTCATTGGTATTCTTCTCATTGATTGATCTGATATTAACTCACCCTTGTTTGTTAGCCTTATCTTTGATCTTGTTGTTATAAGTATACAAGTATACTGTTGTTCTTTTCATTAGTCATTTGCTGCTTTAGGTGATTGTCTATTCTCTTTTCTTTCTTTTCTTACTTTGTATTTCATCTTGCTGGCACTCATGAAATACTATCTTTAGTCTATTCATTCACAATTATTTCATATTCATTTTTTTGGGAGCTATTATGCACCAACTGACCCAGTCTCATGACTTAAAGTTTGTGTTTCAGAGCTCTGTAATCCAAAATAAGCAGCCACTTTTCACTGTCTACCCACTGTACATTGTGATCACACTTTAAAAAATAGGGAGCTGAAAAAAACAAACAAAAGTCAATGCAATCTAACATACAGCTGGTAACTCCGTTTGAGAAGTCATTGATTTGAAAAAAAAGATTACAATAAAATGGAAAGGGTCAAAGAAAAATGGACAAGACAGGAACATGTACAAGAGGCAGGCCTTTGCTGCCTCCAAACCAGATTTAATATGCATTGCCTAATGAGTGCGTACTGAGATTGTAACTTTAAAAATGGGGTTCAGGCCTAAAAGTTGAATCTCGGCGCGCGGGAATTGCGACCTAGGGCATAGGCCTCCACTGGCGTGGACTGCTCCGCTGCTTGCTGCCGCTCCTTCCGTGAAGGACTATGTTAAGCTTGTACACAGTGATCCTCCCACCAGGGGGACTTTGTTAAGTTGGCACCCACCGGTTGTGACTACCTGATCAAGCAAAGTCACACATTGCTGCAGTAAATAAAATTGAGTTTGAAAAAATGAAAAACATAGAAAGTAGAAAGTGGATGACTTCCCGTCAACATCTGCGGGTCTCCCAGTTTTGATTTAGAGCTTTGAAAGCTAGATTTCCCTGCAAAAAATCTAGACTTTTCAGGTCTAAATCACAAACTGAAAGGGTCCCAGATCTGACAGGAAGTCCTCCAATGACATTTTATTTACTACAAAAAATGGCCCTCCGGCGCACACTTTTCCAAAAGTGCTGTCAACCCTAAATTAGGCACCTCTATAGGGGGTTGCCAGGTTAAGGCATTGTCCTGGGGTTTGGGACGGGGCTGGAAGGTTATCCCAAGTCACAGATCACCCTGGGAATTCTGGGATTGCCCCAAAGCCCCGTGAAATCTGTTCTTTTCTTCTTTTCTTTTTTTTTTTTCTTGTCTTTTTCTTGGTTTTTCTTGTTTTTTTTTTCTTGTCTTTTTCTTGTTTCTTCTTGACTTTTTCTTGAATTTTTCTTGACTTTTTCTTGACTTTTTCTTGTTTTTTCTTGTTCTTTTCTTGTTTTTTCTTCTTGCTTTGCTTTGCTTGTTTTTTTTTCTTCCGTTTTTCCCATGAAACAAATTCCATTCACGGGGTTTCGGGGCTCCTCTGACCCCATCCCGAGTCCCAAACTTCAGGGTCCGGGACCGGGGCAGTTTGGGATTCCCGAGGTTCGGGACGATGCTATGTAGGTTGCCTGGGTCCTGTTCCGCCGGATTTTGTTGAAGATGCCGCGGCGCTACCTTGAACCCCCTCAACCCCCAAATCACCTGATCAACGATAAACTAAATAGGCTCTGTTTCGCCTGGCGGTGACTAACTGATCTTGTGTGTACCGCAGATCTAACTTGATCAATAGATATCAACTCGTTGGCCACAACCGAAGGGAATTCAAAACGACCCATCTTGCTGGATTGTCCCCGAGCTGTTGCTTTGAACGGACCATCCTCGTAAGCTTCTCCTTTACTACCCATAGCTGCAAGTTTATTCTTGATTTATTAACGATGAAACTCACAGAGCCACAGAATATGCCATTATAGAACTCATCCTACAGATTACCAACATGAACTCATCACCAGAGGACCTAGCGAGCCCAGGAGACAATTTGGCATCGGGCCTCGACAACCTTCGTTCTCGGTATGTAGGACTACATCCCCATGTGGAGGACAATCAGAACTCGTTCTCAAGATTGATTCTTAAATCTTCGGGTATGTTGAATTATGTTAATCGACCCGCCTTTCACGCATCAGGTCGTTAATTAATTTCACTTTTTCGGACTTGAAGGGAGCAAGGTCGAGCACTACCTTGATGATCTTGCTGAAGCTTTTGGCAAACTACCCTCCAGTATGCCTCTCAAGATACGCGATACTTTGTGGTGTAATTTTCTTTCCAGGGATAATTATACCAACGGCACCATTATCTCAGTTTGGGAATTAGATGACGACTTGAACGCGGAATTCGTCCGGCTTGCGTTCTTTCATCAACATCCGGAGTTTGCATGCACAGAACACCCAATTTCTCAGGAAAAAATGCTTGCCGCACTCGCAGCCCCGGTCCATGCGGTGGCAAAGGACCTTCTAACTGCTGCGCAGCCATCACCAGCCGACCCCGATCATATCGAAATCCTGAAGGAAGGTTACGATCATGAATACTTGAGGAGCGAAGCTATTGTGACACCGACCCTCAAGCGTCTCAGTAACAATGCAAAAGATTGGAATTCAACCAAATATCTCGCCCCATATACCGCCCTGATTGCGCCGAGCATGAGCGGGAAGACTCGCTTGCTCATGAAACTTTCGGAAAAAATATGTGTTGTTTACATCTGTCTTCGCCCAGGTGATTCGACTGGACAACCCCCAAGGTCCGTGCTGGCTGACGAGATGGAACTCCCCAATAAACGAGTTGAAGGACTGTTAGTACATTATTATCGACTTCTGGCGGCTATTTTCGACGTGGTGGCAGAATTTTTCTCCAATCCATCCAACGGCATTGATGAGAAGGATCGCCTCTTGACATGGTATAACTATAATCACCAATGTGGCGATGACCTGGCAACTCGAGTTCAAGACACAATGAAAGATTTCGGCCAGGACAAAAAGTCTGCTCTTGCCGCCTTCAAGACGAAATTGGAGAAGTTGAAAAATAACACAGGCTTTATCAGCAATCAGGAGCTGAAGGTACTGTTTGCCTTTGATGAGGCACGGGCACTCATCAAACGGGAAACAACCGGCGATCAAAGATTACCATACTTTCGCGTGCTTCGTAGAGTTCTATCCCAAGTGCCGCCTCGCCTTCACTTCTTTGCAATCTTTACGGATACCACATCAAATGTTGCAAATTTCTGCCCTACCCTGCACAATGATCCAAGCGCAAGACCTCCACCCGATTCCAAAATGCTATACGCACCAATATACGGAATCGACACCTTTGACGCAAAGGTTCCCTCCCATCCACCCAAGACATGGAATGAGCTGGTATCACCGCAACGACTATTTAGTTATGGCACCCCATTTTTTCGCATTTACGTCGAGGGGGCCGAAAAACCGGAAAGGTCGATGTCAACCAATGAGATTGTTCTAAACATCAGAAAGATCGCCATCGACAAGCTACTCTGCCTTCCATCCTCATCTGACGACCTATCCGAAGGTCAAATTTTTGCTTTACTAGGTTCTACCATCCAGCCACAGATATACGAAGCCGCAAGGCTGGATTCAGAGTTGGTCTCAAGTCATCTGGCTCAGTGCTTGTATATCTCGCCTTCCCGCGAACGATTGATCAGCGAGTACCCATCACAATTCACGTTGTCTATGGCGGCCAACTCCTTCCTCGCAGAAATGGATTCTAGACTGATTTCCTGCATCAAGGCTCTCACTAAGTTTATGCAACAAGGACTTATCTCGTCGGGACATTCTGGAGAACTGGCTACTAGAATCATCTTACTGCGAGCAATACAGAAAGCCATGTCGACTTCTCCTATAACTACCAACCAATCAGATATTCCATATGGGTGTTCAGTCCTATTGGCAGATTTCTTGCAGGCCTTAATCGGTGAACAATCGGAGTTGAAATTGGACATGCATGCTGACCACCAAACTCGGCTGTTGAAAGAGGGTCGAATCTTTTGGAACCACTTCACACATATTTCTTATACACCAACTCAGGCCGACCTTCTTGAGTTCTTGTACCGAGGCCTGGCGGTACAGTGCAAGCCCAATCAATGGGGATTCAACCAGATGTTCCCCATCTACCTCGCACCGGACCTTTCTGAGTTTGCACTTGATGAAGATCGGATCTCATTCTGCGGAGTACAGACGAAGAACGGCTTGGTCAAATTCAAAGAGGAAGGTCCCAAGTGGAATTCCCAATATGCAGGAGTCGAACTCAAAGACAATATTCCATACCTATTCATTCTTTTCAGTTTCAAAACTACCAGAACAAAGCACACGCTACCCACAATCCCTCAACGCGGCTCTCTAATCTTCCATGGCCTAGACCAAATCAAATGTCTGACACCTGAAATTTCTAGTGCCTTGAAAGAGCTATTAAGTGTTGATCCGGATATTCGGGATTTTCACAAAGACGACAAAGACCGCAGACGTTACATTGAGAACACTCGCGCTGCCTTTTATCGCCTCGGTGATCGTAAAGTGGACTTGAATTGTGATTCGGACGATGGAATTGACGTTGATTGAGATCCGGGAACTGCAACTGATCTTCTTGAAGATTTGGACCATCCGATGAGCTGATTGATTGAGCAATCTTATAATCATGGGCGGTTTGTCCCATCCACTTGATTATGATTGTTCTGATACAGTCAATACCAATTGACGATCATCTGCTCCTATATTCTACTCTCAGACTTTCTCAGATCTTGTTATTAACAACGCTCTCGTCTCATCACTGCTTGGTCCACTTTTCACCGCTCAT